CTTCTGTTCTCAGCTCCAGTTGTGAGGCTGAGATCTACGCCACAGCCATGGCTGCACAGGAGTTACACTGGCTCACCTACCTGTTGACCGACTTGGGAGAGCGGCCTCGTTCTCCTCCAGTGCTGTACGTCGACAACAAGGCTGCCATTGCCTTGTGTGAGGAGCACAGACTGGAGCACAGAACGAAGCATATCGCTCTGCGCTACTTCCTTGCTCGAGAGCTGCAGCAGCGCGGTCAGCTTCGTCTGCGTTACGTGGCCACTCGGGCCAACACTGCTGATGTGTTCACCAAGGCTCTTCAGCCTTGTGACCATCAGCGCTTCTGTACTGTTCTAGGCCTTGTGCCTACTGGGCCTCACTTGCTTACTTCTTGACTCTACTTGTACTGTGATCTCTATATATATGCCTGCATGTTTACTCTTGCTAGGTTGTGATCACTGTATCTCTTGTTATACTATCAACCTGCATGTGAACTGGTCTTGTGACCACTTGCTTGTGCTCAGAATTTGTGTGGTTTCCTTGAGATCCACCCTGAGCTTGCTTTGCTTTGCTTTGACTGGTCTTGTGACCATTTGGTTGTCTCCCACTTAGCCTATGGGGGTGTGTCAAACATTATATGTTTATATTGTGTAGGCTATAGTGGGTTTAGCCTTAGGGGGTACAGCTTTGTTAGGGTTTCCTACTTGTATCCCCCTCCTACCTAGTTTCATCATTCTCGTTCTATTCTAGATTCTAACACATACTGTACCATGCAGCCGAAGACTCTCAAAAATTTTGTGCTGCCCAATTTTCCCGTCCACAGCAGATGCGGTGATGCGTTGTTCGGGAGCGATGATGACGAGAGCAAGTTGTGCAGCATGACGGCGTGGTCCATTGCTTCGGGCCACTGGTGGTTGGGCAGGTGCATGCCACGTAGCAGCTTGCGCATGGTGTTCTGGAGGGTCATGTTCATCCTTTCTGCTACGCCTTGCTGTTGATGGGCGTAGGGAAGGGAGATGAGTCGCTTGATTCCTCTCTCTGCCAAGTACTCCTTGAACCTCTGTGAGGTGTATTCTCCCCCTCCATCTGATTGAAAGCTTTTGAGTTTGACGCCTGATTCTCGTTCTGCTACTGGAAGCCATGCGACAAAGGCTTCGAAGGCCATGTCGCGGCTTGGAAGATTTAGGTGCCAGACGTATCGTGTGGCTGCGTCGATGAAGGTGATGGTGTACGGTTGTACAGGATGTCGCTGTACACCTTTCGAGTGGCGCGTAAGCTGGTGCGCTTGGGTTGTGGTGAGACGCGAACGTTTGATGCGGTAAGTCAGCTTCGGGACACGTGAAGCATGTTCCACGGGCTTGCTGAAGTTCTTTGCCGTTAGTTAGGAGTAGAGAGTCTTTGTCGAGCACGCCTGCTCTTATCGTGTTATTTAACACCGTGTTGCTTGGATGACCCATTCTTGCGTGCCAGGTTCCTTCGGTGGCGCGATGTCTGGGTGAGCGCCGATACATGTCGGAGTTGGAGTAGAAACCGGCGGTAAAGTTGGTGCTTCGGTGGACTTCTCGTTGAGTCGGAGTTAGCTGCTGCGCGGGTGTTGGTGATGTATCGTCGGTGAAGATTGGTGCCGTTGAAGGACCAGCGATTGGTGTCGTTGTTGCCACTGCTGTTGTTGTCTCTGCTGCTGCCGATGTTGTCTCTGCTGCTGCCGGTCTTGTCTCTGCTGCTTCCGGTGTTGTTTCTGCTGCTGTCGATGTTGTCTCTGCTGCTGCCGATGTTGTCTCTCCTGCTGCCGATGTTGTCTCTGCTGCTGCCGAATGTTGAATTGTCGCTAACGCTCTTGTTCTTTCTGCTTCAGGAATGGTATGTGAATACCAGAAGCCTTCTGGACTGAAGTCTGGGTCGAGATCCGGTGGATGTGACCAGGAGGTGAAGGCGACGATCCCGTCGCTGTCTGCGGTGCCGAGATCTGGAACGAAGTCGAGGACGAAGACATTATTTTTCAGGACTGCCTTCCCGATGTAGAGACCGCCCTTCCCGTGGTACAGCTTGAACTCCTGGGTGGTGCTGTCTGCTTCGAGGTGGATACCTTTCGCCATCAGTTGACTAACGCTGAGTAAGTTGTAGCCGAGGCCTTCTGCTATTAAGAACTTCGACATCTGCAGTATGACATTTGTTTCTCGTGACTGAAGTTGAACCACTCCTTGTCGTCGTGTGCGCAGGTTTTGGTTGTTGGCGACGGTGATGACTACTTCGCGTTGGAGTTGGTACTCTCGCTGCACGAAGCGTCCTGAAGAGCACATATGCTGTCCGCAGCAACTATCCAAGAACCAAGTATCTTTTCCGGATGGTTCGCTTTGGGCGATAGCTGCATACGTCGGGTTCGGTTGAAGTGACTCGCGGCGGGGCGTACTATTGTCGAGTTGCTCTTCCGGTGAGTAGTGCGGCGGTGACTCGGTGATGCAGGAGTCGGTCAGTTTTGCCATGCAGCTGACGATGTTTCTTGCTCCTTGTGCAGATTGTGTTTTTGCAGGCTGCGACTGACTCGTGGGGTTCGCCTGCGTCGATGCCACTTGGTTGCTTGAGGGTCGAAGTTGTCGCTGTGGTGGTGTTAACTGTTGTCGATTCGGGCAGTGTGTGCGCGGGTGTCCTGACGTCTTGCAGAGATGGCAGAACGGAGGTAAGGGCTTTGGTTATTGTCGGCTGTTGTTGTTGTTGTAGCGTCGCTGAGTGTGAAACGCGAATTCGGGTACTGATGCTTTCTTCTTGTACCGTTCCTCTTGCAGGTCCATGTCTTGTTGCTCGGCGTGAATTTCGGCGCAGAGTGCTGCTTCGGAGATTCTTCCGTGAGCTCGGAGAATGGCTTTTGTGGCGCGCCATTGAGGACCGAGGCCGCCGATGATGACTGTCACGAAGGCGTCTTCATATATCGACCCTCCGCATCGAAGGAGTTTGTCGCGCAACTCGCGACAGCGGCTAATATACGCCATTCCTTTTTCGCCTGGTTTCATTTTGACTGTTGTCAGTTGCGCCATTAGTCGACTCTGATTTACGCTGTCTGTTGCTTGATACAGGCTTTTCAAGTGGTTGTATGCGAGCTCGGCGGAGTTGTCGTATCCCCGGTAAGACCGTATATTCTGTTGCTGAGTCGGGGTGATATTCCTCAGTAGGATTGTGTACGCCATCATTGACTGATAGGTGTACTGCTGCTTCTCGTACTGTGTGCCGTTTGTTGGATATGGCAGGGATCCGTCGAAGAAGCCGAGGATTTGCGCGCCTTCCATCATCAGCTCGAATTCGAATGACCAGGTAAAGAAGTCCTTTCCGTCGAAAGGTCTTGACGTCTGTAGCTTCAGAACGTGCGCAAACTGCGACTGAACTTGTAGCGCGTCCAGTGTCTTCTCTTATCCAGATGCAGGCTGCGTTTGTGGCATAAAGCTGACGGAGCCGCGCTGGGGCTCGTACGGAGCAAAGGTAGGTTGCTGCTGTTGATTTCCACGTGCGTAGGATGAACCATCAAGGCTCATTGGAGTCACGTCATTGTTGTTGTTGCTCTTGTGTGACTGCGCAGGTACCGATTGCTGGTGTTGCTCGTAGAAGGACATGAAGGAGAAAAACTTCTCCATCATGCTCTGGTCGAAGCCTGCAGGTTGATTCGCGGGAGTCTCGGTGGATGTTGCCCTGGGTCTTGTTGCCATACCCTCCTCTGTCTGTAGGCCAGAGGCAGGAGGTGGAGTAGGAGTAGTGCCGGGAGAACCAATAGAGGAACTCCTTTCCTTCTGAGTAGCCATGTCTTCTGATGTTGTAGGTGTCTTGATAGTTGAATTCCACCTGATAGCTCTCATACCATGTTGGGTTGAGAAAAGCCCTTAGGATCTTTTCAGAGGTGAATTCTGGGTAGAACTGATGTAGTAGCGGAAGCGTTTAATGAAGAGTTGTGAACCACCTTGCGCTAGTGTGTGAGGGCAAAGTTGATTGATTAAAGCAAAGAGATACAAGATTATATAAGAGTACAAGGAATACGAAGAGATACGGTTGCAACTACCTTACTGTTGCTGTTGCGGTTCGATACAGTGACGACTCGGGCAACTGCTCTGTAACGAGTCAGTTGTGTGTCCTTGCTGTCGCGCTGTACTTGTCAGGTCAAAGGTCGCTGACCTTTGACTTTCGCGTAACCTCTAGCAACCGCTCAACCTCCGAGGGTTGACTCGCCGGTGCTTCGATATACTTTGCTTCGCTTCTGACTTGGTGCTTCGACACGACAGAGGCGCTTAGAGTTAATTGTTTCCAACAAAAGCATGGCTCCCTAAGGCACAAAAACTTCAAGTGTAGTTGCTAGGGTAGTCTACACCAGCTTGCTGGTAGTACCACTTATACCGTTAGTTCCATGCCTATCTGTTCATCTCACGTGTATGGAGGAATTTGTTTACACGGCTAGGCACTGTTCTGTCTGAGCACATTCATTACAATTGCACATCGATAAATATAAATATGCTACATAATAAGGCATTAACAAAGAGTGGAAGGAAAGCAAATAAATATAAAACTGGGTCATTCCTGCCAAAAACAGGTAAAACGAGGGCATTAACCCCTCAATTTGCCATAATCTGGCTCTTTCAGTGAGCCTTCATGCTGTCGAATCTCGGCATTATTCCACCAAACACTTACGAGATTCCCAGCAAACCTCGTTTCCCCTCCTTCCAATGCCCTTGCCCTTCAAACCCTTCCTGCACTGAGTTTTCCAAGGCACTTGGTTGAAGCCTGTTGATTTGAACCCCAGAACAAGCAGCAGAAGGATCTCTGTTGCAAAGCAACGACGCACCCGAACTAAATGAGTCTGCTGTAGCTGCACCAGCAGCAGCAGCACCAATCAAGTCTTTCGGGTCAACGGAGTCAACAACGGGGTCAACAGGGTAACCAAAGTCAACATTCTCATGGTCAGCGCTGTCAACAGGGTCAATGGAGTCAACAGGTATGCAGATAGGGGCTCCCCAGGACAGTGTCCTTCTGTGACCCCCTCCCTTCTAATGCCCCCCCTCTTCCTTACCAACCCCTCGCCCTTCTCTCCCTTCTCCACACCTTTTCTCCAACCCATTCACAGGCTCCTGTCTCGTCATATGCACGTGCTCCTGCTCCACACGCCCCCGCCGAAACCTCCCAGGGAAGAAGCTTCCGGAGCCCCAAGAGCTTGCAGAGGGGGAAGAACAGGGAGAGCGTGCAGGGGGATTGCGGAGAGGCGAACCAGGGGGTAGCCTAGGTGAGGACTGTGACTTGGACTTGTCGAATTCGAGCGCTTCAAAACCCTCAGATGTCTCAAACGAGTTCAGAGCCTGGAATGCCTGGGACCTTTACCGGCGGTGTCGCGCGCTGCAAGCTGGCCTCGCACGAGTGCGTTCGGCGGTGCTGCTGCCGCCGCAGCCGCGGCTGCTGTTGCTGCTGTTGAAAGGAACCCCGTTTCTCCACCGGTCCAGCGACAGGTTTCGGGGATCGCGGTGGCAAGGCAGGGACGAGGGCGGCGACGTCAGGGGCGGCAAGGCTGATGGAAGGGGCGGCAAGGCTGACGGAAGGGGCGGCAAGGCTGACAGAAGGGGCGGCAAGGCTGACAGAAGGGGCGGCAAGGCTGACGGAAGGGGCGGCAAGGCTGACGATATCATCATCTCCGCGTGCCCCTTCTTTCAATGGACCGCCAGGATTGCTCCACGTCAGCTGCTGCCCGCCTGCGAGCCACTCCCAGTCGTCCGGGTCGTCGCCCAAATCGTCCCCCAGTCGCAGGAACGCAGGCTTAAAGCCCTTGAATCCCGAGGAATCAATGAACCCCGCAGAACCGAAGCCTACAGGCTCTGGTGAGCCAGTGGCGGGCCGAGAGGCTGTGGGAACGGACTGAAAGCCCTTAAAGCCTGTAGAGTCATCACAGCAGCTGCTGTTGCTTCCGCTGCTGCTGCTTCTTCTGCTGCTACAGTTCTCGTCTGAAACAGTCATGGCTGGGAACGACGTGGCATCTTCTGAAGGCTCCTCGACCTTCTTAGAGCCTCCTTCCATGCTGCGCGCCGCATCTCCCGCTGTGCTACTAGCAGCAGTGGTGCCAGCACTGCCGGCGGTAGTATTACCACCCCCTCTCATGCAAGTAATGGCCGTGCGCTTCCCAGCCGTCGCCGTTTCCGCCAGCAGCATCGCATCCAGGCTCCCCGTGCGACGGTGCCTGCGACCCTGCGGCCTCGCGTGGGCGCGGGCGAAGCCCTGTGCGACGACCTGCTCCCTGTCGTCGGGGTCGTCGCTCAGATCGGCTCCCAGTCGCAGCAGGGCCGGGAGGAAAACGGAAGTCGCAGGAAAGCTCGAGGAAGGAGGCGGGGAGATAGCGGCGGCAGGAGATGCACCACCAGACCTAGTATCGTAACTTCTAGTAGTAGCATGAGAATAGTAGGCATTAGTTCGAGTAGCACTGGTATGACTGCTACTGGTAGTTATACGGCAAGTTGACGGGCTATTGGCGGTACTACTAGTAGCAGCGGCACCCATGCGAGAAAGAGGCGACATTGCGACGTCGCAGGCGACAGCACGACCCAGGTCGCCGTCGAGGTCGCCTCCAACGCTCACCGCTCGTCGCCGACGATCGGTCCTGGCAGTCGTAGTTGTCGCACGCGTCGCACGAGTCGCACGCGTCGTAGCATTTGTCGTCGGGGTCGCGTGACTCTGCACAGGCGCCGGACCGTCTTTCAGCGCGCCGCGGTTCGTGGGAGCAGCCGCGCCGGCAGGAGTCCCGGCGGGATCAGCATCATTTTCTCGCGACGCATTATTCCCCGCCCCCGCCACCTTCCCCGCCGTTTTCTCCGGCGCCTCCCACGGCGCGTTCGGGTTCTGGAAGCGACAGGAGCTGCCGGTTCTGCCAAAAAAAACTTCCGAGGACCCGTTGAGACCGCTCAGGTCTGACCCGCCGAGAAGACGCAAGCTCAAGGGTCCGGCCGGAGGAGGTAACGACGGGATGGTGGAGCTACTACGAGTAGTTGTGGTAGGACTCGGACTCAATCGACTGGCAGTAGCAGCAGTTGTCGACTCGCAGAAGGACTTGATCGGGGATGTATTACTAGTAGGGGACTCGTTTGGCAAATCGTCGTACTCGCTGGAAGAAGTATCATTCGGACACGAGTCGTTCGTTGAGCCGCCGCAGGAAAGCGATCGCCGTGTCGGCGGCGGCGGCGGCCCGAAGACGTCCGAGGCCCATGACATCTCAGGTTCGCGCCGCGCATTTCGGCGAGCCGCGAACTCCGACCGGGAGGTAACGGTGGTACTAATACTGCTAGACACGGCACGGACAGCAGATGTTGTAACCATGATGAGGCCACGCGGGATCGACGGACGATCGCCGACGCGATGAGTGCTATGCAACGATCGACGGCGGGGAATTGGTAGCGGTGACTTCTGGAGTGGTAGGAGAACTGGGAACTACCACGCCCACTGGGTGGTGATGATACTGAAATGTTTCGTGGAAATGCATCGCCTTGTAGTTGTATATATCAGCACTAAATTTGCTGGATGTGCGTAGGAGGGGCGGGGCGCTGAATAATACTAGGCTGCTGCTGGTTTCCGGAAAGAAGCCACGGCCTGGCCTAGAGGATCATACTACTAAGATCAACACTGTTGCCTGGAAGTCTAGAAGCGCGCACGCCGGCGGGGGGTGAGAAGGAAGGCTGCTCCGCGAGTGGCAAGAACGCGCAACGCTGCGCGTGAAAAGAACCCCTCAGTCATGTCATTCATACCTGGTGGTTGCCGGCTGCGCTGGTGGATACAGTGTATGTGGAAACCATATCAAACAACATCAATGGACAACAGTCACAGTCAGGCATCAGGGCGACGGTCCCTCCCAGCACCAATTTGAGCTATTGTGATGCCGGTATACTGAACCCTGTGGCTCAACGCGCCAAATTACGCGCTATAGTCAACTTTTGCACCAGTTCGGTTTGACGAGGTCAGCTACCTTTGAAGACGGTCGGCTGAACTTTGAATATGGCTCGGTAGGGTACCCAGGTTAACGAAATTTCGGATCACCCGCCTCCTAGAGACGGTTATTGTAAACTTTTCCAATACGTCCAAGGAACAGTTCCGCTGTTCTGTATGTTTCTGCAGTTCAGTGTAGCGAGAAAGAGGGTGAAGGAGGAGAGACGCAACACGTTATTCGAGCTGTTTGACAGCTGGCGCTGCCCGGCCTAAAATCTGAAAGCGACGCAAGAAACGGTTTGGGGTAAGTAGCTTTGGCAGGGGTACTACTAGCGACCCTGCGCTTTGAAGGGGACTACAGTGCCAGTAGCGGGCACTTTCCACCCCTCCGTGCCTCAGACAGGGAAGTTATAGAAACAAGACAGTAGTCTTCCCCACATTCACCCACGTGTCACCAATTTCCATGCCACCTACTGTACTGGACATCTGACCAACCGTGCGCAACAGACTTTTGTCCCTTCTGCCAAATCGAATCCACACTCTGGGTGGCTCGGCGTGTGTGTGAGGTACACCCTTTTTCTCAATATTTTCACCTAGCGCGACTCGTTGCTGCAGTACTTGTCTCATGCGGTCAGGTGCCATAAAACGTTCCTAGCAACCTGGGGGGGAAAGCCGAACCACGTGACAAACTGGCTCAAGGGCGTAAAATTTCCGTTATCACTGTATACCTTACCCAACCAGATAAAAACGCAACAAAAAGCTATTTGTAACGTGCATCACCTCACCTAATCGCGTTCTTCACATTGTGCTTGTACAGTTGGTGACAAGACCGTTCTGAACGCGGTGACGTTCTACAACCTGTGTACATTCTGCAACCAGATGCTGTACTAGCGCGAAATAGGGTGTATGTGCTTTGGAAGGAAGTGGGGAAGGGTGCTGGTTTCATTTGGGTTTGTTGGGTGGGAGGAGGGACTGAGGGGGGAAGAAAGCCTGTCGAAGTGTGTTCAGGAAGAAAGACCGTGTGGGGGACGGGGTGGAGGGGAGCGAGGGAAAGTACAGTTCACGTTTGCCTATGCGTCGCCGGCTAGATCAGCGGATTTCCGGTCACATGCATGATCTACAGATCTTTGCCACGTTTCGCTAGATCGTGGTCGCTATATGACCGAGGCGCGTAGAAGGTTATACAACAGACAATCCCGGAAATTTCATGAGACCAGCTGCTGGTTTTATTTGGGTTTGTTGGGTGGGAGGGACTGAGGGGGGAAGAAAGCCTGTCGAAGTGTGTTCAGGAAGAAAGACCGTGTGGGGGACGGGGTGGAGGGGAGCGAGGGAAAGTAGTTTGCCCGGCCATTTTCAGGTGCATGCAACTTAGTCGAGGCGCGCTATTCAGGTGCATGCCAGGTTGCGTACACTATTCTCAGGTTAAACTATGTCTCTCGTAATTTCAGACCTTTTGTGCCAATTTTAATCACCTGGCGGTACATGTATATTCGAAAAGGTGGTGTGCCATGGCGTTAATTATGTGTCATTAAATATACATGTAACGCACGATATATCCTTAATAGCCGTAGGGGTAACTCCCGCACTGAGTGACGTCAGAAAATGCATCATCGAGAGCCAACCATTCCGACCCCGATTTGCGTAGCCCGAAATTGCCTCTATTTCAGACCTTTTGTGCCAATTTTAATCGAATCTTGAACAGCGTGTGAAATTACGAGAGACATAGTTTAACCTGAGAATAGTGTACGCAACCTGGCATGCACCTGAATAGCGCGCCTCGACTAAGTTGCATGCACCTGAAAATGGCCGTAGTTTGCCTATGCGTCGCCGTGGAAAAAAGGAGCAGCCATTTTCAAAGGCATGCAACTTAGTACAGACGCACTGTTCAGGTGCATGCTATCCCGTCGTTTTTCTCCCTCTGATATTACTGTTTGTACACGTCCGCCACGAAAATCACTGTTCTGTCCGGGGATGCTACCCATGCGACTGACACCAACAGGCGCAGCTCTCGCACGAAGTTGAAGTACAACCACACCAGTCGCAGCCTTAGGACGTGGGCCCAATCGACTTTGATCGGATCGGATTGAATCGGGTTGGATTGGTTCGAATTGCTTGTGATCGCTTTTCCCGCGCCGCTCGATCAAAGCTCATTTTCCTCGAAAACTCTACGAGCCTGTATGATAAGTGTAACACAGTTACCTGGTATTTTCTATCCAACTTTGGCGAGACTGGCGAACGCAATGTATCGTGGTAACGTCGTGAAAATCGCGTTGCAGACAATGTCAGTCTAGAACCTTCGCATACTGTTCTCGCCATTCCGTAGGCATGAGCGAACACTTTCGAGACCACTAGTCGACTGTGTAATGTTTCGCGAACGTCATCCAGACCCCCGATCACATGCAATCAAGTGATCGGGACTGATTGTGTCTGATCGTGATCGATCGGATTGTTTGAGGCGGTTGATCGAGTTAGAGCGATCAGCTAATTGCCCCTGATTGCCCCTGATTGCATGAAACCGGCTTCCTGCCTTCCTAGAAGTTATCGATCGCCTTTGATCGAGCCGATCAAAGTCGATTGGGCCCACGTCCTTACTGCGAACATGGTCTGAGAAGAAACGAGGAATGAAAATGACTAAGGGAAAGTTGGGTACAAATACAAACCCTAGAAAACTGTACCCCATATGTGCTACCCCACTATAGCCTACAGTAGCTCTGTCATATAAATCTGACACACCCCCATAGGCAAAGTGGGGGAGAACAAGGGGTCACAAGACCAGTCAAGCAAAGCAAAGCAAGCTCAGGGTGGATCACAAAGTCACCACACATTCCGAGCACAAGTTCAAGGCCACAAGGCCAGTTCACATGCAGGATTGCATATATATATAAGGCTAGACAAGCAAGAGCAGGTGTATATATATATGCAACAGTACAAACAAGGTCAAGGGGTGAGCAAGTGAGGCAAGGTAGGCACAAGGCCCAGCTGAGTACAGAAACGCTGATGATCACAAGGCGCAAGTGCCTTGGTGAAGATATCAGCAGTGTTGGCCTGAGAGGCCACGTACGCAAGCCGCAGCTGACCACGCTGCTGTAGCTCACGAGCAAGGAAGTAGCGGAGAGCAATGTGCTTCGTTCTGTGCTCCAGTCTCTGCTCTCGACACAAGGCCAGCATGGCCTTGTTGTCTACGTACAGCACTGGAGGAGAACGAGGCGGCTCTCCGAGGTCAGTCAGCAGGTAGGTGAGCCAGCGAAGCTCCTGTGCAGCCATGGCCCCGGCGTAGATCTCAGCCTCACAACTGGAGCCGAGAACAGAAGAGAGCGGGTAGCCCGCCACGAAACAGAGCCGGAACCAAGGCTGAAGGTGTAACCCTGTGACGACCGCTGCGTAGCCTGGTCGTCAGCCCAAGAAGCGTCTGCGTGCCCAGTGAGGACCACTGGACTCTGCCCTCCAAGCACAAGCCCCATGCCCGACGTACTGCACAAGTAGCGCAACACCCTCTTTGCTGCAGCCATGTGCTCCGGTCTGTGTCTCCCAGGAGCAACATAGCGTGCGAGAATGCTAAGAGGGTATGCAAGGTCAGGTCGTGT